TGAGACAAATGAAGTAACAACATTCCAAAATCTATGAGACACAACAAAAGCAGTTCTAATTGGAAGTTTACAGTGATACATGCCCACATCAAGAAATAAGGAAAATCTCAAATAATCTAATCCTACATCTAAAGGAACGAGAAGAAAAAACAAAACCCAAAGTTCATAAAAGGAAGGAAATAGAAAAGATCAGAATAGAAGTAATTGAAATATAGACAAAACAAAACAAAAACAATGAAAAAGATCAATGAAACTAAGAGCTGCTTTGTTGGAAAGATAAACTTCAAAACATTTAGTCAGACTCATCAAGAAAGAAGACAGGGCCCAATAAGAAAAATCAGGAATAAAAGAAGCATCATGAGACTACAATGAATAATTACATACCAAAAGACTGGAAAACCTAGAAAAAATGGATAAATTACTAGAAATAATAATCTTCTGAGACTAAATACAAAAGAAATAGAAAATCTGAACAGACCAATTAGTAGTAATTGAAACTGAATCAGTAATCAAAAAACTCCCAAAAAAGAAAAGTCCAAAACCAGATGGCTTCACTGAATTCTCTCAAAAATTTAGAGTTAATAACTATCTTTGAACTATTTCAAAAAAAAATGCAGAGGAATAAATGCTTCCTTACTAATTCTATAAAGCCAGCATTACCCTGATATCTAAACTAGAAACAAACAAACAACAACAAAAAGCTATAGGCCGATATCCCTGATGAACAGAGACGCAAAAATTCTTGACAATATATTAGCAAACTGAATTCAATGATAAATTGAAAGGCTCTCACACCACAACAGAGCGGCACTTATTCTGGGGATGCAAGATGGCTCAACATCTGCAAATCAATCAATGTGATAAACCACATCAACAAAATAAAGGATGAAGATCATACGATCATCTCAATAGATGCATAAAAAGCATTTGACAAAGTACAACATCCATTTATGATAAAAAGTCTCAACAAAGGAGATATAGTGGAAATGTACCTCAATGTAATAAAGGCCACATATGACAAACTCATAGCTAACATCATACTCAACAGTAAAAACCTAAAAGCTTTTCTTCTAGGAGTAGGAACAAGATAAGGATGTTTATTGTTTTTTTTTTTTTTTTTAGATTTTCTTCATTTACTCATGAGAGACACACAAAGAGAGAGAGAGACAGAGAGAGAGAGAGAGAGAGAGAGAGAGAGGGGCAGAGACACAGGGAGAAGGAGAAGCAGGCTCCAAGCAGGGAGCCCGATGTGGGACTCCATCCCAGGACCCCAGGATCACGCCCTGGGCCGAAGGTGGCGCCAAACCGCTGAACCACCCAGGCTGCCTAATTCTCACTTTTATTTAACATAGTATTGGAAGAACAGCCACAGCAGACTACCAAATCAATACACAAAAATCTGTTGCATTTCTATACATTAAAAGAGAAAGACACTAGAAAGAAAAATATACTAGAAAGATAAAATAAGAAAATTCCAAGGACAATTGTATCTGCAAGAACAAAGACTTAGGAATAAATATTACCAAGGAGGTAAAAGACTGCTGAACAGAAAACTATAAGACATTGATGAAATAAACTGAAGATGATACAAATAAATGGAAAAACATGCCATGCTCATGGATTGGAAAAATATTGTTAAAATGTCCATACTAAAAAACAAAGTGATACACAGTGCAATCCTTATGAAAATTCCAATGGCATTTTTCACAGAACTAGAATAACCCTAAAGTTTATATGGAATCACAAAAGACCGTAAGTAGCCAAAGCTATCCTGAGAGAACAAAACTGCAGATATCCTGCTCCTAGATATAGGATTATTATAGCATGCTATAATAATCAAAACAGTACAATAATGGCACAAAACCAGATGCATACATCAATGAAACAGAATAGAGAGCCCAGAAATAAACTTACACTTACGTAGTCAATTGATCTTTAACAAAGTTGGCAAGAACATACAATGGAGAAAAGACAGTTTCCTTAATAAATAGATGGTGATGAGAAAATTGGACAGCAACATCCAAAAGAAACCAGACCACTTTCTTATACCATACCCCAAAATAAAATAAAATAAAAAATAAAAAATAAAAAAATAAAATAAAAATAAAATAAAAAAAGTACTAAAGACTTAAATGTATCATATGGATCCACAAAACTCTAGAAGAAAACACAGGCAGTGATTTGGTTTTAGCAACATTTCTGGGGGACCTATCTTTTTAAAAAAAGGACAGCAGTAAGCAAAAATAAACAGGACTATATCAAACTAAAAAGGTTTTGCACAGCAAAGGAAACCATCAACAGAACAAAAACACAACCTCCCGAATAGAAGATATTTGTAAATGAAATATCCGATTAGGGGTTAATATCCAAACTATATTAAAAACTCCAAAATATATTAAAAACTCGTCAACTCAATATTAAAAAAATAAGGAATTTTTACTTGAAAATGGGAAGAAGACTTGAAAAGCTATTTTTCAAAAAAAGACAAAGAGGCGATTAACAGGCACATGTAAAAATCTTAACATCAGCAATCATGGTGAAATGCAAATCAAGACTACACTGAAATATCAGTTTGAATCTGTCAGAATGGCTATTATCAAAAAGATAAGCAATAAAATGTTGGCGAGGATGTGGAGAAAAGGGAACCCTGGTGAACTGCTGGTAGGAACATAAATTGGCACAGCACTATGGAAAAACAGTATGACATTTACTCAAAAAATTAAAAATGTATCTACCAAAAGATCCAGCCATTCCACTTCTAGGTATTTATCTGAAGAAAACAAAATCACTAATTGGAAGAGACATATGCACCCCTTTACTATATTGGCAAAGATACTGAAGCAACCTAAATACGCGTATATACGAATGGATTAAATAAGTGTTTATGTGTGTGTATGTATATTTATATACAGATACACAGTGGAATATTAGTCAGCCTTAAAAAGGTGAAATCATATTATTTGTGACAACTTGGAAAAACCCAGAGGGTATTATCCTAAGTGAAATAAGTCAGAGAAAAACAAATACTGTATGATTTTGGTTATCTGTGTAATCTGAAAAGCAAAAAAAAAAAAAAAAAAAAAAAAAAAAGAACAAATAAAACAATACATGAACACTCACAGATACAGAGAACAAACTAATGGTTGCAGAGAGGAAAGGTAGGGATAGACGAAATAGGTGAAGGGGATTAAGAAATACAATCTTCCAATTACAAAATAAGACGGGATATAATGTACACGTAGGGCATTTAGGAATATTGTAACAACTTTGTATAATGATAAATGGTAACTAGACTTACTGTAGTGATCACTTCGTTATTTATTTATTTATTAATGATAGTCACAGAGAGAGAGAGAGAGAGAGAGAGAGAGAGAGAGAGAGAGAGGCAGAGACATAGGCAGAGGGAGAAGCAGGCTCCATGCACCGGGAGCCTGATGTGGGTTTCGATCCCGGGTCTCCAGGATCGCGTCCTGGGCCAAAGGCAGGCGCCAAGCCGCTGCGCCACCCAGGGATCCCCTACTTCGTAATTTATATAAACAAATCATTACGTACACCTAAAACTTAGAAGAAAATATTGCCTGTCACAAAATGTCCTTGAAAAAGGAAAACTGAACTACCATGTGTTCCAGCAATTCAATTTCTGGAAACACATCCAAAGGAAACAAAAACATGTAACTCTAAAGGGTATCTGCATGCTTATGTTCATAACCAAGACATGGAAACAATCTGTTCATTGATGTATGAACAAAGCAGGTGTATATATACATACATATATACATTGTATATATATATACACACACATTATATATACATTGTATATACAATATATACAATAATACAATGGAGTATTATCCAGCAATAAAGAACAAAGGTATCCTATCACTTGTGACAACAGGAATGGACCCTGGGGCCATTATTATGCTAAGTGAAATAAGTCAGAGAAAAGCCAATATTGTATGCTTTCTCTCATATATGGAATCTAAAACAAAAAACAAAACAACTCATAGGAAAAGGGATCAGATTTATGGTTGCTGGAGGTGGGGGTATAGAGAGGGGGAACAGGAGAAAGGTGGTGAAAAGGTGTAACTTTCCATACAGCATGACTGCAGCTAACACTGCTTCATGATACACATGAAAGTTCAGTTAATCCTGGTAATTCTAATCACAAAGAAAACAGCTTTTGCTTTTTAGTTTATCTATCGTAGATGAGATGATAGACGCTAAGTCTACTTATTGTGGTAATCATTTCACAACGTATATACGTCAAACCATTACGTTATATATCTTACACAGTGATGTGTATCAACTACGTACCAATAAAACTGAGGAAAAAAGAGAAAGGACAAGAAAGCTACATTGCTGAAATCTCTAGTATGAATGGTTTGGAGGGGGTATAGTAATATCTTTAAATAAAATAATCAAGTATTCAGTTGACCCCCTGAACAATATCAGCTTGAATTGCACGGCTCCATGTATATATAGATTTTTTTTTCAATAAAGCCCAGTAGTATAAATGTATTCTCTCTTCTATAATATATAATTTTAACATTTTCTTATCTCTAGCTTACTTTATTACTACAGTATATAATATGTATGACATACAAAATATGTGGTAATCAATTGTTTATGTTATTAACAAGGCTTCCAAGCAATAGCAGCCTACTGGTGTTTAAGGTTTTGAGGAGTTAAAATTGTACATGGATTTCTGTCTGTGAAGTCGGTGCACCTAACCTCTACATTGTTCAAAAGTCAACTGTAATTGTTTATGTGTTAATTAGTTAAAAATAGGACTCTTAATATGTTAGAGATGTGTTATATAAAAGTACTCTGTTAATGTAAATAAAACAAGTGTAATTCTTTTAGAATATAAAAGTTAGCATACTATACTGAGGAATATTTGTTCATTTAATACTGAGGATGGGATATTAATTTCTTCCATTTGGCAATTTATATCTACAAAAATAGAGAAGTAAAAAAAAATTTAAAAATGACACATTACATATATGAAACAAAACTATGCATTTATTCTGAAACACAAATAGTATAAATATATAATATTTTAAAATGTCTTTAATGTGATGTCTTCCACATTAGACACAAACTCTTTTTTCAGCCTTCCCAAACATTTTACAAATTACTATAATTTATACATGTTCATTTAGACTTATTAGAAGTTAATCTAATACTGATATTTATATAAAAGGTAACATTTATTGCATATTAAAACTTTATTATGCTTTCACAGGGTCTAGAAAGAGCATGGCTAATCCAAAAGACTAAAAATCTCTATTAGCACATTTTCAGTTTAAATGAAACATCAATCAGGAAGTATTTTATTGAGGGTACCTGGTCTAAGGCATAGGTAATAAACTAATGTAAAACTGACTCAAGGCAGATTACTTCTCAGCTAGTAATATTTAGAGTTCAAGTGACTTGCTACTCAGTAATACTTTGAAAAATTTAATAACTTTGACCATGATTCAGCAATCAACAAAGAACTTTTTTTTAGAGTAAAGTTATGTGAGGATAAGGAAAAATCTGGCATATGGTTTTATTCTTTAAGATCAAGTTTACTTTTTCCCCTAAAAATGAATTCCAATTTTAACTGAAATTCCTTCCATTAAAGCAAATGTAATTTATGATCAAACTTATCTGTCAAACAACCTCTATTCCAATAGAAATTTCCTACTCTTATTTCTAGGAAATCTTCCAACTTTGAAAGGGATATCTTTACTGTACATCCCACTTATTTATAAAACCTTCTTCTATTGAGATATTAGTGTTTAAATTTCTACCTATGACAAACCTGTACTCTGAATAATAACTCTTAAGCTTTCCTCCATTTCCTGATTTCCATCTGGTTTTCTCTTACATGTTAAAGTAAAATCAGAATCTCTGCCTTGCCAGGCATTTTTCCCCCTCTGGCACAACTTCTCCAAATGACCAATTTTTAGAAGAAAACAATATAGCCATAAAGTTGCCCAAAAAACATGTACTTTTTCTACTGCAATAGAAACCAAAATTCACAATTATTCAAATGCAGACATTTTTCTGTCTTGGACAACTTATACAACCTATATCTGAACTAATTGTCTATTGGTTAAATGCAAATATTCATGATTGAACTCCTCTTTTTAATGACTGGGTTGTAAGGAAGTTGCCTAATTAATTTTGGAACGAGGAAAAAAGCTAGGTTAACAGGTACAGAATGAAATGAGGAAGAAGTTTGGTTTAAAGAATAAAAAGCATTGAGATGAATATGGGATTATATAGAAATTTACTGTGTAAGAAAATGTGTTCTTTTGGTTTGTTTGTTGTGTTTTCTTTTAAATTTGTTTTTATGTGGAGGGGAAGTTAGATGAGCACCCAAGCAACTAAACCATGTTTGAGTTACTGTATAGTATTTCCACAGTGCCTTATTCTGAATATGTGTTTCCTAAAACTAGTATATCAAATGAATTTATGTCCCTTTAAACTGTCTGTGATCTGCTGGTCTCTTATTATGGGTTCTATATAGTTTCAAAGAAAGATACCTGATTGATTGCAAAAGACTGGAACTATTATGCCCTCTATCGCAGTGACTGCTGGGAAAATCGGAAGTTCTGCTGGTCTGTACAATATGGAAAGGTTTCTAAATACCCAGAAGACTCTGCCACAAATTTAAAACACTTACCTCAGTTATTTCATCTACAAATCCATAAAAATCATGTCTGGTCATTTTGAAGATTAAACAGCATGCCCTTAGCACAGCGCCAGTGAGACAGGCAATTAGTGAAAGTTAACATCTTTATTCCAATTATATATTTATAGTCCATATGGATACTTGCTCTTCCACAAAGCAAAGACAGATTAAATATTTTTCAAGTCTAGGAAAATAATTTTGTTTTTCCTAAAGTTCTATTGCCAAGAATGTGTATAGAAAGCAACAGAATGAAGGAAAAAGATATCTGTACTACTATATGCTGGCATTTGGAATAACAATATATATTGAGATGAAATTTAAACAAAAATCTGCACTAAATTGTTTTGTGATTTAGATACTAACTTACCAAGCCTCAGATACATATAGTTACAGATTTTCTCCTTTATTAGCTTTTACAGCTACCCATAAAATGTGTTCATTCTGAAACATGGTACAGAAGCAAAGAACTGAACACTGTATCATTTAAAGAGCAAATTTAATAAAACTAATTAAAAACTGGACTGCCTAAAAGTTAAATATTATTACTAAAGCTGTTCTCTTATGAAAAGCTAACTCACAGTAAAGGTCAAAAAAATTCATTGACTTCTGTGTCTAGATTTTCTATTTATTAACAAAAAGATTGTTTTTAACACTAGGAATTTATAGAGTATTTCATTATCCAATCATAAATCTATCATATTTATATAAAAAATTAGTATGAAAGTTTATGTTGGACTGGGTGAAGTGGAAGGCAATTTTTTTCTGCTAGGTAAAATAATTATTTAACTGTATTGCTTCTTAAATGTATCTTTAATTTTAAAAATTAAACAATAAATGGGCAGCTGATGTATTCTCTTGATTTATTGTGTATTAAAAGTTACTTTCTTGAGATGGCACATTAGTAGGTTTGATATTTCCTGACACTATGAATAATTTAAAAACAAATTGTTTTGAAAGTTTTATCATCATGATAGAAGGAAAAATAAGGCTTTCTATAGTTGAAAATAGTCATTTTTCAAAAAGGTTAAGAGGAAAAATAAACCATTTTTTGATAAAGAAATGAGGCAGTTTCAAACTAAAAATATAAATTTAAATGAAGCAACTTTATAAAATATTGTTACTAGCTAAAATTACATGCATAGGTACTTAATAAAAGAGGAACAGCAGTGGAACTTAAATATGATAGGATTTATCAACAATAAATAAACATTTATAGTGCAAATCATGCAGAAAAATTTCTCAAAGCAAAGACCACAGCAGTTATTCTAATCTGTACAAAATCAGTCTCAGTTCTGCATATAGTCTATCCAGAATATTTATGAATTCAGCCATTGTGATGAAATGCCAATTTGCAAATCATACATATAAATGTGCTTAGTCTTGTGTCATTTCTGTCTTGGTGGTTTATGTTTTCAGGAAAATCTGAAAAGAAAAGAACATAAAAAACCCTAAGATTTAACTTAAGATGATAAATTTTCATCTTCTTACATTCTTTTCCAATTATGATCTACCTGTAAGAAGATAACTTGACGATGAGGGAAAAGAAGTAGGGAAAGGATTCTAGCATGTCCGTATAAATACTCAGTGCCCACTTTCTTCTTAAACCATATTAAAAATCAACCCTTACCCAAGGGACTGGCAGTGTGATTTGTAAAACAAACAAACAAACAAAAACAATTCAATGTTAGCACCAATGTCATAAACAACTAGATTAAGAGAAGGGGCACAGAAGTCTGAGACAGAGATGAGAAAATCCTGCCACTTCCCTCCCTCTAAATGCTCTTTTCTCAGAGTCCACTCCTTCAGCCCACTTGTATCAGCACAAGATCCCATGACCCAAACTGCTGCTGGGCCGGTCTCTTTTCTGAGGATCGGTAGTGAAACCCTTGTTCATCTCCCTGGGCTGCTTGAACTGTCATTATATGATCAGACCTGTGGGCAGCAATGGTGGAGCATGTGCAAGTGGAGCAAAGAAAGGCTCTCTGAAGAGCATGTCAGGAAGCACAAGAGAGTGAGAGAGAGGAAAGAACAGAGACACAGAAAAGAGAAACAAGTAGCCTTGGCAAGAGTATGAGAAGGAGAAGTTATTATGGCCTCCTGTCGTGTTTTCACTCTCAGCAACTGGGCTGTCCTGTGTGCATTTTGCCTCTATAAAGTATGAGTTGTTCAATAATACGAGCTTTTATTTAACATTTGTTGGGGTGGGAACTAGTTTTCGCAACCAAATCACCCCTAAAACTAAACAGAGGACAGGAGAAGAAATATCTTGAGATCAGATAAAAGTGTGACCAAAGATACAGTGATAGGAGAAAGAACAGGAAATAGAGAACTTAAGAGGAAAATGGAAAATTGAAGTGGGTACTCTCAAATACATGCCAGATTATAGAAGGCTTAAAACCAGAGAGAAATTTAACAGTTATCCTACCATTGCTAAGGTCTCACCATAAGTTTGCAGCAGTGAAATTATACCACAGGGTGGTATTTGAGGAAGATTATTGTCAGTGCTGTGCAGGAAGGAGAAACACTACATTCAGGGGACTGGCAAGACAGTTACCGGAATCATTCTGGTGTAAGATGAAAAGCGACAGATGAAGTTCATTGTAAAGGAAGAACTGACAAAGGAGACTAGTGAGAAAGATGTCAATGAAGTGATAAGGTATACACCATACACCAGCTAAGAGATAAGAACTAACTATAGTTTCTGATTCTACCCAACACTGAAAAAAAATATTTAAGCTGACATCATTGTAACAAAATATCCAAGATTTCCTGGTTACATGCTAATGCATATAAAATTATGCTTAATGTATGAGGAATTTCATGTGTTATCTAACACAGAAGCTATGACAGAATTATGTCAGGCCCTGGTAAGAAGACTTCAATTAAAGAATATTCATGCAATAGCCTTCCGACACAAACTTTCTGGAAGACAATTTACCTATAGTGGGGCATGGAATTGGCTATGCACTGTTATTGCTTGTTGAAGTTTCTCTTCCTTGGCTCTTCTACAGTGGCAGATCTAGAAGATAAATGATTTAAAATACCAGTCACTTCTCCAATGATTTAACTATTACTTCTTAAATTATGACAGAATATGAAGTAAGAATCCTTTAACCTGTTGACATTTTTTAACTTGTGAATGTTTAACGTAGCTCAGAATTTAAGAATACCCAACTCCATAAACACTGACTTGTATTGGGAAGATAACCTTTGCTTGTGAACTAACAGAATGTTAAAACAAACCTTGACCCTTTAATTCTGATTGTGGAATTTCAAGCATCTGCATTTTAAAAAATATAAAAACAAAATCCTACTGTTGTTAACCAGGAAGCTTAATAAATACAAGCTTCAAGGTATAGTTATATAGTACCAGAGAAGAAGGAGCCAGAAACCAATGCCTTACCAATGTTCTAAGCATAGTCTTTAACGTCCCTAAACTTTAATTTTCTCTCATGGAAAATGGGGATAATAAAATCTGCCCACTTTCCTTAACAGGATATGTATACATATAGCACATGTTTTACAAAGTTTATTAACAAAAGGTTACTTTTCAAATGTGATGTTTCAGAGAAATTAGGTAAATATTTAAAACTCTATCAAAGGGCAAAACACTGTTAAGTAGATTTTCTTAATTTTTCTTTAAGTATAATGGAAATCAGAACAGAATAGAAACTATTCCAGAATGTTCTTAATATTATTCACAAATTTAAAAAAAAATTATTCCCTTTTTAAATAACTTGTTGAACGTAAGAAGTTGTATACTCCTATAATTATTAAGACCAGACTTAAGCTGATTTACTTGCTTCAGTACAAAATGAAAGTAAGATGTTGCTATCATTCTTAAAGAATAGAGGCTCTTCAGTTTCTCCTCATGGCACTCAAAACTCCAGCTCAGTAACATATTAAAGTTTTTTTTACTCATGAATATACTTAAGTAATCTGATATTGCTGTCACTTGTCCTCAACTGAAGAGTATTACATACTGTTCTCTTTTCCATGAAGCTACTGAGAAAATCATCTATTTCAGTTTTTCCCTCTAAGAAATCTTCAGCAATATTATCAGATTCTTCCTCAGCTTCATGTGCAGCTACTTTCAGTCTTGCCTGTAGGGCACTCACACTACAACTCTGAAAAAGAAAATCAAGTACTAATTTAGTTTACACTGCTCAGAAAACTCCTTAGAGGCAAAGGAAATGAGACGGGATAGTGAGGGGCAATTCACTATATGCTTTAAATAGCCTCTTATTTGAGGAAATCTGCTACCCACCAACTTGCTCAGCTTTTGGATACAGGAGTAGATACCAAATACAAAGTAACCCAATCCATTGGTTGCAAACCACTGAATGAGGGAAACTGAGCCAATCATTGTCTTCAAGAGTTAGGAATTAGGTCATTGTGGTAGGCACCCTCTAAGAGGACCCTTGTTATCCCCACCTCCTGGTACTTCTGTGTAAGCCCCTCCTCTTAAGTGTGTGCTGGACATGGTGACTCCCTTCTAATGAACAGAATATGGCAAAACTGATGGGATTACATATAGTCAAACAGACAAAAGACCTGTACAAACACTGCTGAGAGGAAATGAAGAAGACATAAGTGGAAAGACATCTTATGGGCATGGACCGGAAGACTCAGTATTGTTAAGATGACAATACTACTCAAAGTGATCTACAGAGTCAATGCTATCAATTCCTATCAAAATCTCCGTGACAGTTTTTTTGCAGAAAGTAAATAAAAATTAACTCAAAATAGATTGAAGACCTAAATGTATGAAGTAAGACTTTATTTTTTTATTTTACTTTTTTAAGTAGGCTTCATGCCTAGTGTGGGGCCTAACATGGTGCTTGAACTCACAACTTTGAGAGCAAGACCTGAGCTGAGATGAAGCATTGGACGCTTAACTAACTGAGCCACCCAGGCATCCCAAGACTATTTTTAATAGTTGTCATGCTAGTGGGTGTAAGGTAGCAACTCACTGTGAAATATTACACACAAGAATGAACAGGAATGAGCCATTTTCTCAACACCCTTGCCAACCCTGGTCATCTATCTTTACAAGTTTGGCTCATAAGGATGATATAAATTTTGATTATTATTATTACTAAAAGGTTCAATATCTGTTCAAATGTTTCTATCATTTATTCCTGGAATATTTACTGAGTATCTACTATGTGCCAAGTATTGGACCTGGTACTGGGTACACAGGAGAATAAGATATGGCATGTTTCTGCACTGCACAGTCCAGTTAAGTGATTTATATACTTTATACAGAAGACTGACTCATCATCCCCAAAGAGTCTGAGTGAATACATGTAGAGACAGGAGTAGGAATCAAGGTTGTATTTTTTTAAGTGTTTCAAAAATCATTTCAAGCAAGTCTTATATAAATGGCACAGAAGACACAGTAACTGTTAAAGCAGTTTGTCTACTGGACATTCATACTTCTCTTTGAATTTCTTGTTCTTTCCTATGCCTATCTTGGGCATCACTATCTTATTCCTAATATTAAGAGGATCCTGGAAATTGACAGTTGTGATGCTTGCTATTGGTTTCTAATATTCTTTATCAAGTTAAGGAATTAATTTCTATTCTTAGCTTACTAAGAGTTTACAAAGAATGATGTGACTATTATAAAAAAGCTTATTCACCATCTTCTAAACTCTAATGTGCAGCTAAGAGTGCTTCAGTTGCCTCTCTCAGACTTTCTGGTTAAGAGAGAGGGAGGACTGCTTACCTTTGATCCCTGACTCTGATACTTTCTATTTATACGACCTCATATAAATATCCCTGTGCTTCAGACTGCTTATCTGTACTATGAAAAAACTAATGACATCACCTACCTCCTAGGATATTGAGGGAATAATGGGCAATATATGAAAATAGTTTAATGCAGTGTAAGACACATAATCATTATTCAATGTTAGCTATTATTTTTATGTCTTTAATTCTAAAGGATGACCAAATTATCTGAAATCCATTATAAATTTCTATTCTCCTTTGCCATCATTTTTTTTTCTGTTGTTTTATTTTCTATTTTTTGTTTTATTACATTGGCTTTATCTTCCAGTATTGCTTTTAAAGGAAAGTGGATGTTGTTTTTATGACAATGGTTATTGATATGAGATAAAAAGATTATATCTCCTATTCCTATTTTTAAAGATTTTTCATAAATACGGGTTGAATTTTATAAAGTGCTTTTTTCAATTTAACTGGATTTCTGGCATAAAATCTATTATTTGTGGTGAACTAAAGTTTATAATTTTCATTTATTTTTCAACTTTCTAAGTTTTCATTTAAGATATCTATACATAAGCTTACTAGTGAGACTAAAGTTCAAGTTGTTAGATTTTATTAGAGGACGTAAACTGGCATTTATAATAACATTTTTAGGAAAGTTATTTATAGGGCTTTTTGTATTTTTCTGCCTTGGAACCAAATATAGTCTTGCATGAGCACCAATAATTTATAATGCCCCATAACTAAGAGCTATTCATCTCACTTGAAAGTATCAAGTCTTATAAAGACAGTCACCTAATAAATGCTTTCTGATAATAATGAAAGTATGAATGCAGCTCATACATATTGAGATTAAAAACTCTTATGGCACAGGAAAAGAGCTAAACATCTTACCTCACTAAGTTCATGCTGCCTTTGCATCTTCTTTTCAAAAGCAGATTTCAGTTGTGTAAGCAATTCATACTAAAACATAAAGTAAAAATGTTATTTTATTACATTTTTAAATTGTATGAATTTCTTTAAAATGATAATTCACTCACCTTATCTAAAACAGTTTGCCTTTTGGCTTCCAAGCTGGGCTCCAAAAGGAGATTTTTTCCTGTAAGATAAATTTCTGGTTTATTTCTAGGTAAACATCATATTTTTCTTAGGAAATTTAAGAAGTAAGAAAGACATACTTGCTAGCTCTTCGATACTTTTTACTAAGTCATCCTTGTCAGTAATAATCTGTTTTAGTTGGGGCAAAGTCAGAAACTGTTCTAGTAATATTTCCTCTTGTTCATTCATATCTGTAAGCTGTGACACACTAGAAACACAACAGGAAAGTTAATGAATATCAGTCATCTAGTTTTTCTCCATAATAAATATTCATAATTTTTTCCATTTTATTCGGTTGATATGCCTCTAAATAATTTTTGACCTATCAATATTTATACGTAAGAAGGGAAATTATACCTTAAAAAACAAATAAAAATCAACAACAGTGGAACATAAAGTAGTCTGAAAGTAGTAGTATCCAATCACAATAGGACCAGTAAGATGAAGATTCATGAACAATCACAACAATGTTTACCTGTATCTATTTAGCTAATAGATGTATGGCTATCACAATAAAAGATAAGTACATGAATTTGTGTGTTTACTGATATTCATAAAAGAGTTAAATAAAAGCAATTATGAAGGACTAAATCAAAACCAAAAATCAATACCCATAGGGTGAAAGAGGGAAATGGATGGGTGGGAGAGGAATAGAAGCGAAACCTTTCTGATCATATCTATTAGTTTTGACTACTGAGCTATATAAAGCACTGTATGATTTTTAAAACTCAAATTAAAAAAAAAGCAGTCCTTAAAATTCAGAGCAAATGAAAATAAATAAAACTTTTTTCCCTAAATTACGTATCATCCAGAGAAGTATTATCTGGATAACTTTAAAAAAAGCAGTATCCAGCTGTACATGTCAGGTGTGATAGAGCCAAAACACAAAATAAGTATAAAAACCAAAACTCTTATCCTGAATTCAATAATCACAGTAATACTACTAGTATTGTAATTTTGAAAAAGAATAAGCGCCTTTCAGAGAAATTATTTCAGGCCAGGGAAAAGAAATTTCACAATGAGCCCAGGGCATCTTTGTTTTGTCAGAAAGGATATATAGAATCCAAGGTGAAGAGTCTGCTAGTGATTAAAGATAGAACTGTTTAAGCATCAAAAAAGAACAGTGACTGCAATAGATTGAAACACATCAAATATTTTTTAAAAAAATTTATGAGTTCTTAATAACACAGAAACAATTACCAAAACAAAAAACTTTCCCTCTCAAAAACTTTGGAGCTTGTTTGTGCAACAACTCATTATTCTGAAACTTGAAAAAAACACCTAAATCAAAAAACAAGAATTTATCTTTCCATTCCTATATGAAGGGTATTTCAATAAAACTGAATAGTTGATACAGAAAGTTGTTCTTCACAAAATTCTGGCTGATTCTGGTAGTAGAAAATCACATTTGCAATCCTTAATGAAATACTGGGTTCCAGGTTTCTGTTTCAATCTTAATGTCACTAAAAATAGGGCAATGAGACATCATTGTTACCTCATGTGATGTAATAGGAAGTATGCATGCATTAGGATATTAAGTATTCTTGACAAAAGAACATATTTTTTTTTGCAGCATTGAAATATAACTGACATATAACATATAACATTGTGTATGTTTAAAGGGTACAGCTCAATGATTTAATACAACTGAACCCAAATTTAACTAAAATTCTAGATCCAGCCATGAAGAGCAAGAAATATGGGAAAAAGAATATCTTTAATGGTACCACAGGATGCAATCAGGCAAAAACTGGATATAGAAAATTCTACAAAACAACCGATTTCTTCAATAAATGTACAATAATATAACGTGTATAATATAGCATTTTCATCATAATTTTTTTAAAAGAAGGAAGGAAAAAAAAGAATCCTTCATAACATTGAACAGTAACAACAAAAAAAAATTGAACAGTAACTACTTCCTGAAGTTGCTGCAAGCATTACAGTACATAGGAAATCTTAATACATATGTGATATATTGTAAACTTTCACTGACTATTACCAGCAGGAAATAATGAATCACTATTTAGTATAAATAAATATAAAACACTGGGTCAATTAAGGTAAACTTGTTTTTTTTTTTTTTTTTTTTTGAAGAGTAGTTTTTCTCATGGGTATTTGGCCATATATCCCTGGTGGGGTATGTCCTAGAGACAAAAAGAACTACAAAATTGTTTAAAATTATACTCAGAAGTCTTGTAATAACAGCCTTATGAGTATTATAAAACTTCCATGGGGGGGATCCCTGGGTGGCGCAGCGGTTTGGCGCCTGCCTTTGGCCCAGGGCGCGATCCTGGAGACCCAGGATCGAATCCCACATCAGGCTCCCGATGCATGGAGCCTGCTTCTCCCTCTGCCTGTGTCTCTGCCTCTCTCTTTCTGTGACTATCATAAATAAATAAATAAAAATTAAAAAAAAAAACAAAAAACTTCCATGGGGTATAAGGGATGCAATGCTTCCCAAAGTTGAGTGGCCACAAAACAATTTTTTTCATAAAGTACCGTAGAGAAGTAGCGTTCCACAAGAAATGGGACCTTACACTTGAATACTACAAATTAATGTGTCATCCATTGGAATACAATTTGGCTCTGTAAAAACACTGTGCTAAGAACACTTTATGAGAACATTAATGTGTTTCTCTGTGTATAAAGTTCTACCTAAAAAAGGAACAACAAAAAGGTCTCAAGCCAAAAAATATCTGAAATCACCAGGAATGATGTCTTGAGAAATAATTTTTGTAATAATGTAAGCCTCAAGAGGGAAAGGACACCATTATCCTGGTAACTATTGTATCATTCCCAGCAATGAGGACAATCCCTGGGTATATACTAAGTCACTCAATAAATACAAACTATAAAACTGACTTATATAACTATATAACTTTCCTACCCAGACAACCACAATTTAGAAATATTGAGGATTTAAAAAATTTTTTCTTTAATATGAGTATGAAAATGATGATCTGCTTTGTATTTATCATTGTCAAATAGACAGTGAATACTATCATTACTTTCCCAAGCTTTTTACCTTAGTTCTGAGAGTTCTGGAAATGTATCAGGAACATCTGGCATCTTGTAACCAAAACCATTTTGGCTTATCTAAAGAGAGTTTGAAATGATATTAAGTTTTAGCCATTTTTTAACTTCCTATTTACTTATAAATGTAATTTTTAATGTACCACATCCTATAATGTTTCATCATCCACCTTTATTTCTGCACATTACATTGTCCTTATTCTGCCCTTCTTTCTTTACTACTATTTTTCAGGGTACTTTATACATAGAGGGCTGATTTTTTTTTTTTGTTTTTTGGGGGGTGAGGATCATGTAAGTACTTGTGTTAGCTTAGGCAAGTATATGACTGTTCAATAAAACTCTTAAGTGTATCTGTCTGTGACAAGTACAGAGAATTATCTGTGGATTTCATTGATATATACGGATACACTTGCCTCATGTAAAAGACACTGAATTTTAAAAAAAAGTAGTAAGTTGCAAAAGTCTGAATAGTTACATAACTAAGACAATAAGATAGATAAGGAATAGATAATTCATTGTTTTATAAATGACTTTTTAAAACTGAGGATCCGGGGATCCCTGGGTGGTGCAGTGGTTTGGTGCCTGCCTTTGGCCCAGGGCGCGATCCTGGAGACCCGGGATCAAATCCCACGTCGGGCTCCCGGTGCATGGAGCCTGCTTCTCCCTCTGCCTGTGTCTCTGCCTCTCTCTCTCTCTCTCTTTCTCTGTGTGACTATCATAAATAAATAAAGAAAAAAATATTTTAAAAAATAAATAAATAAAACTGAGGATCCTGGAAAGGTTCTCTTTTAATTTTGTTTATACTAATGATAATTAAAATTCATAATATTCACAATATTTGTTCATAACATTCTTTAATACAATGATGAAAGGTATTGGAAAGTAAAGTCTGCTTGGGCCAATATTTTAAATTACTACAAACATGAAAATTAGTAAGATTGAATACAGGAAAGTTTTATAATACTTAGGTATTACTGTGGATGAAACTCAAGGTTAAAATGAAGATTTTAAAATTGCTTCATATGTTTTATTCATTAAGTATTAGTCTCAGTAACATCCCACATGGCAACAGCTACCAGGTTATTTAAGAACACAGAATATTTTCAAAACCAATGAGACACTTGAAGCCCTTGGCATGGTAGACAGCAGATCCTCCACAATCTGATACCTACTTCTCTTACATGATCACTTTTTGCACCTTTGCCTATTTCCTATATGACCGCCAGAGAGATCTATTAAAGGCAGTTTCACAAAAACGCAGTTTGGTTTATGCCTCCGTGGTTTTTTCAGTACTAATACCTCTTTATGGAAGGCTTTATATAACCCCTTTCATCCTGACAAATTCATTACCATCTTCAAAAACTGGCCTTAAACATAAACAAATTTATTTTTCTGTCTCATATTGAAGTGAGCACCTACTACATGTATCAAGTGTGGTTTGAAGCACTAAGGATAAAGTGGTGAAAAAGGAGAAACACATTTTTTATAAAAGTATCCCTTCTAGGTCTACCTCCAATCCTAGGAGCACTAACCATTTTCTCAACTGCATCTTCACTCTAACTCTAGACTCTCTCTTCTACTCTACTCTAAGTTTCTCACTTACATTTAAGAAAACTCACTGGTTTCCTCTGAGTTTTTTTTTTTTTTTGAATTGAAAATGTGATTTAATCTTTTAACCTTTGTGCCTTAGTTAGTGGCTGACATGAGAAGGCATATAATAAATATTTGTCGATTGGATGAACTGTCAAGGATACAAAAATAAGGAAAACTGAAGATACTCACCGGTGCTGATGTGTCTGTTGTAGGAACAGGTAACGGCAGATTTGAAAGGATGCCAAAAGGAGCTGCAGGTTTTGCTGGTGTGTAACTTGTTGTTGAAGAAGAAATAGTGTCAGCAACAGACAAAGAAGTGACAGTCCTGTTAGGTTCTTGTGGGGGAAATGGAGAAAGAAATGGGAAACCCTGAGATGCATAAGGAGGCAGCCCACTTGGATTACTGTACAGGCTGAAGAGAAAGACAAAAAACAAAAACAAAAACAAAAACAGTAGATTAGACTTTAGGGGGAAACCTATAAAACTACTGCCAATTAGTTTGAGAATAATAAATAACATGGTCATGCCACAGAGACAGGATCTTGTTACTATAATCATATAATTGAATTAAAAATTCTATAAATTGATTAAATATGACCCCCTCTCCCCCCAAAAAGAAAAACGTTTTAGAAAACATATAATTCCACTCATCTGAGTAGAAGTGAATAGACAGGCTTTTTGGGTTTTGAGCATTCCATTAGCATAAATCACTGACATCATAAAGAGAATGAAGAACTTTGAATCCAGAAAATGTATTTACAACAGGTTGCTTGAACAACAGCTCTCACTTTATCTAGAAAAATATAAATGAAATTCATGACTGCTTTTCTAAATGATCTTAAAGGAAAATAGTTAGATGTATAGAAAAACTGCTAAAAATGTTAAAATATAAAAAATACACATTAAAAAACACACACGTAGATTAGAAAAAGTGGTACAGCAGCATGTACTCAGGATTGAATCAGAGAGCAATATTTTTTTCTGCATGTAATAAATATTTGGGTCCTGGTTCAAGATGACAAGACAGTAAGATCTTGAAATCACCTCCTACAAGGAGTGCACTAAATCTTCAGAAACATGAGTAATTTAATTCCTCAAGAAAAAAAACCCTAAAATATAGTTGTGTAACTCCTACAAATCAGCAATCAAGAAAAATTAATATTGAAGCAAGCAGGAGAGGCTAAGCCACAATCTCCCTGTAAACCCAACCCTCCGCACAGAGATGTCTAACCAGGAGAGCTCAAAACCTGAAGCTTCTTCCTGAAGGGCAAGAGTTTGAACCCCACACTGAACAGTCTCTCTTTTAAGCTCTGCATCTCAAAGAAGAGTCCCCCAAACACCTAGCTTTGAAAACCAAAGGGGCTTGTGTGCTTGGACTCACTCACCCCACCCAGAACCCAGCACAGAAGCAGTTGATTGAGAGGCACCCAGATTTTTAGCTGAAAGAGTCTCAATTCCTAATCTTAAAGTGTCAGCTTAAGGGACAGGTACCTAATGTAACCCACAACCATCAACCCACTGGGATATGCTCTGGGGACAAAGGATGGTGGGACCTCTCCTCATGCTCTCTATCACATTCCAGACCACTAATATCTCTTGGAGGAAAGCTCTTATGCACATATGGTGCCTTATTTTTATGTCTGGTGCTCCAGTTTTGGTAGCTGTCATCCACGAGATCCCACTGACTGCACAACTCTGGAGGTAGGGGGTTCATGTTCCTGGGTCCATGGGACTGTAAAACAATGACATGCTACTACTCCCAGGGCGCTGCACAGACAGCAGATTGAACACACCCCTAGTCTTCCTGCGAAAGAGTCTGATAAACACACCTAAAAGCTTTTGCTTGATGAGGCTTCTGGTTTGGCACACAACTAGAGGTCTAGGGAGGCAATCCCAGGAAACGTAGGTTGGTGGATGCCATCTCTGCACACTTCCTCAGCCTCACACCAGCTTACCAGTATCTCCAGAAAGAAGCTTATACAATCATCTGGAGCCTCAATTTTGCAACTCTATCTCAGGACCACATTTCTAGATCACCTGGCTTCGGTGGCCAGCAGGGCTTTCACTTGCAGCCCCACAAGACTACATATATTTGCATACTTTAAAAAAAGCTACCTGAGGGTCTGGCTTCTAATCAGCCTGAATCTAGGTGATGGATGAGATCCTCTCAGGCCCTGGCACACTCTCAAATACTGGAAGCTATTAAGAATATAATAGGCTCCTTGGACAATTACAATGATTTTATAGACAATCAAGAGGTAGGGCAAGTAAATAATAAGGTTCATCTCCTGGTCCAGTCCTCAAGACTGAGGTGGCTTGAGTCTTCAAGGTGGCTGTTTTATCTTAGGCATAGAAACAAACAGAGTCAAGGAAAATGATAAAAAGAAATACAGTCCGAACGAACAAACAAACAGAAAACCTTGGGGAGGTGGGGGGAGGATATAATAAAATGGAATTAAGTAATTTACCTGATAAGAGTTCAAAGTATTATACTTGGGGGAGAATGGATTAACACAATAAGAGCTTCAACAAAGAGATAAAAAATATTAAAAAGTACCAAACATGAGTCAGAGAGGTTAAAAAAAATACACTGGAGGATTTCAACAGCAGACTACGTGAAGCAGAAGAAATATTTAGTGTATTCAAAGACAAGGCAGAGAAACTCATCCAAATCAGAAAAAAAAGAAAAATGCTCCCTGATTTGAAACTATATTACAATGTTATAGTAGTCAAAACAGAATGTTACTGGCATAAAAGCATGCAAATAGATCAATGGATCTGAATACAGAACCCAGAAATCTATGCATATCCTGTAACCAAGAATACACAATGGAGAAAGGACAGTCTCTTTAATAAACAGTACTAGGGAAAATGGATGGCCACGGGCAAAAGAATGAAATTACCACTTCCTTACATCAAATACAAAAATTAATTCAAAATGAATTAAAGACTTAAGTTTAAGATCTGAAACCATTAAACTCCTAGAGGAAAGCCTAGGAAGTAAGATTCTTGAAACTGGTCTTGGTGATGATTTTTTGCATCTGATACCAATGGCAAAGGCAACAAAAGCAAAAATAAACAAGTGGGACTATATCAAACTAAAAAACTTCTGCACAGCAAAGGAAACTATCAACAAAAAGGCACCTTACTAAATGGGAGAAGATATTTACAAAAAATATATCTGATAATCAGGAGCTAATATCCAAACTACGTAGAGAAACCATATGATAGCAAAACATAATCCAGTTAAAAGAATGGTCAGGGATATTAATAAAAACTTTTCCAAGATAACATACAGATAGCCAACAGATACACACAAAGATATTCAGCATCACTAAGCATCATGAAAATGCAGATCAAAATCACAATGAAATATCACGTGATACCTGTTATAATGGATATCACTAAGAAGACAAAAAAACAAGTGTTATGGAGGATGTGGAGAACAGGAAACCCTGTGTACTCTTGGTGAGAATGTAAATTGGTGCAGCATAGTATGGAAAATAGTATAGAGGTTCCTCAAAAAAAAAATTAAAAATATAATTACCACACGATCCAGCAATTCCACTTCTAGATATTTACCCAAAAAAATGAAAACAGTAACTCAAAAAGATTAATGCATCTCCATGTTCACTGCAGCATTGTTTACAACAGCCAAGACATGGAAGCAAACAAATGTTCATCAATGGATGCACAGAAATAAAAATGTAGTGTTATATATGTGATGGAATATTAAATGTCACCTTGCCACTTGTGGTAATAACATGGATGGCTCCTGCAGGCATTTTAAGTGAAAGAGTCAGGAAAAGAAAGACAAATACTGTATGATCTCATTTACATGTAGAATCTAAAAACAACAATACAGAACAGTCAAGTTCACTGATACAGAGAACACAGTGGTAGTTGCCCAAGTAGGGGTTGGGGTGAGTGAAATGCATAAAGGTGGTCAAAAAGTACAAACTACCACTTATAAGAGAAATAAGCCAGGGGATATAATATAGAGTATGGTGACTATATTTAATAATACTTACTGCATATTTGCAAGGTGCTAAGAGACCCTATGTTAAATGTTCTCATCACAGGAAAAATTCCAGCTATATATAAGGACAGATTAAGTAGATTTATTGTGGTGATCGTTTTGCAGCATTTGTACAAATGTGGAATTACACTGTACATCTGAAACTATATAATGTTGTATGTCAATTAAACCTCAAAAAACATTTTACATTTTTTTCTCTTAGAGAAATTCAGAGAACCAGTCTCTAAAATAAGTAGGGTAATTCAGGCCTTACTGCAGGTAAAAATTATCTAAACCAATATTTAAATTAGTATTAGTTTTATATGGGTCAGTCATTCTTATGTAAAGGATAAAAAGGCTTATGCTGATTTTAAATAAAGTGCTAATACTCAATAGTTCACATTGTTTTTGTGGTATAATAAGAAATGTATTTGGTCTTCAACTAGGTTCCTGGCACAGGGTTCCTAAGTGATAGGAACCTGTTTTTGTTATTCATAACACTGAATCTATGCTAATGAGGTGACCCTGTTTGGGCTCCTACAGTCTCAGAACGGGACAGGTCACTAGAAAGACACAATGATGAAGGGCTGGAATTATGAGCTACACCCACTGACCTCAGGGAGTAAGGGGCTGCACACTAAGCTCTATGAAAACTCTTGAACAATGAGATCTGAAAAACTTTATTGGTGAATGCATCCACATCGGGAGGGTAGTGCATTCCAGCCCATGAGGACAGAAGCTTCTACATTTGGGACTTTCCCAGTCCTTGACCTGTGTATCTCTTCACATGGCTATTCATCTGTATCCTTCGTAAGTTCTTTTATAATAAACTGGTAAACATTAAGTAAATATTTCTCTTGAGTTCTTTGAGTGGCTCCAACACATTAATAGAACCTGCAAGGTCGGGGGTGGTTATGGGAACCTCTGAGTTTATATCCAGTTGGTCAGAAGCAGGAGAACAACCCGTGGATTTGACTCGTGTTGGAAGCGAAGCAGTCTTCTGATACTGAATCTATAACCTGTGGGACCTGACACTATCTTCAGGTAAACAGCATCAGAAATTAATGAAATTTATAGGAAACCCAGTCACTGTCTGCTGACAATTGGAGAATTACTTGGTGTTGGAAAACACACATAGAGTACTGAAACATGCTCCAAAATACATAAAGCTTGAACAATTTTTTAAACTGGAGTATTATTATTTCATTAATGACAAATTAACGAGTTGGAATTATGTTGGAAAGTAATTTTTATTATGGATTTTGAAACATACAATGGTACTAAAGTTCATATGGAAAATTATAGAGAAAAGTATCTGAAGGAGGGTTAAGAAGAGATTAACTGTGACAGCAACACAAATTATAAAACTTTAATAATTACAAGAAAAAAACAGA